TAGAGTCAGCTCCAAGGTTTAAAATTGCGTAAGTAAGCCTCGAGGCGGTTTTCGTCCGTGAGGCGAGGGGTAAGCCTCGAGGCGGTCTGAGGCGTAAGCCTCACGGACACAGAATTGCGTAAATGAGAAATTAAGGGTTTTAGCAGGTAAATTATAGCAATATTCTATCTTACAATAAAAACATCCTACGTCAACTTGCACGCTATATTTCCAAGAAGGGTCACTCCGCAATGACGTATTTGCCTTTTCTTTGCCTCTAACTATGATTCCTAAAGCAAAAATCCAAAAACACACAAAAACAATAAAAAAAAAAACATAAACCCTAGATTTTCTTACACTTGAAAAATCTAACCCTAAACTAAAAAAATACCTAAAATCTAATGTGGAGTACTCCTAGAGGGCGGCCGGAAACTTCAACTTCGCCGGAGAGAGGCGGCGTCGGCGGGAGAAGCGGCGAGAAGGGAAGCCGACGGGTGCGGTCCGTGCGGGAGCTCTCTGTTTCGCGAACTGGAGCCGTGCGAGAAGGAAAATTTCGGGAGAACTGGAGCCGTGCGGGTTTAAGGAGAAAAAAATCTTCATTTTAAGTGGGTGGGCCCGTTCCCATGAGGCGTACGCCTCACCTAGAGTTGCGCAATTGCGCCTCTAAGGCGCGCCTTAGTCCAAGTGAGGCGTACGCCTCTGCCAGTGGTGGAATTGCGTAAGCCTCGAGGCGGTTTTTGGGACAAATTGCGCAGAGGCACTCCTCAATGCGCGCCTCTTATTGCACAATTTTAAACAGAGTTCAGCTCATTAATGAGTATCTTCTACTTATTCGGCTCATAAATTATCATTATTGGGTTCATTCCCCCTTGCTTTGTCTCTTTGGTTTCCCCCCTCCTTGGCTCTTCTCCCCTTGGCTGCCTATTCCTCTTCCCATTCTTTGTGTCTCCTCGGTTTCTTCCATGGCTGTTTCCCGTGGCTGCTCTTTCTCCCTTGCCGGCTGCTGATTCCAGCCCCCTTTGTGCCCCTTTGATTCCCTGCCTGGCTGCTGGTCCGGTTCCTGTGCAGCCCCTTCGGTTTCCTCCTTGGTTGCTCGTCCGATGACAGCTTTTTCCTAGTTTTATGTGTGACCTTTTGAGTGTTGTTTTGGAATAATTTCTAGACTGGTTTGGGCTGTTTGACTCCCTCTTTCCTACATCAATTGGTGGTTGTTTGGTTCTTGTTTCTGTCCAGATTCATGGCTTTGATTGTTTGGTTTTTGGGAGCCTTAAATTCTGCCTTTTTCAAGAGTTTCTACTGTTTTTGTTGGCTGTTTTGGACAGCTGTTTTAGGTGACTTTTGAGCTTCTTTTTGTCTATTTATATGGAGTTTTTGTGGCTGTTTAAGAGTTTTAAGAGAGATGATATATGGCTAATTTTTGGACATGAAAACCTGAGGATTTTTGGAAAAGCTTGAGAGCTTGTTCCAATTCTTTTCTCTCCTCTTCTACTTCTTGGGAAGGCTTGCGAGCTTCTCCTATCTTCGTCTTGGACTTCTTACCTCTTTCTTCTCTCCGCAAGTACAACATCACTTGTATCCTTCTTCTCAAGTAAGGAAATGCAACTTTAGGAATTTATGTTTGTGTCAAAGTTTGTAAGCGTCCTTTTATATTATAAAAAGTATCTTTTGAATTTATCATGTATTTTTCTTTTGTCCTAGGAAGTGTTTTCTTTTGCTTGAAAAAATTAGGGGGTTGTCCTAATTTTTGCATGCATCATAATTCTTAAATAGTGCAATTTTCTTGTAGCCATTGTTTTGTGACTGATTGAAACTTCTCTTTTCAAAGTATTTAAGGAGCGTCCATTCACATTACCTTAGAAGTGTGAAGCATGAACAACAACTTTCAAAGGTTTACCAAATCTTGTCTTAAAGGAATAAAGGATATGGTGATTACTCAATTGAACCTTAATATTTGGGAAGGAAATCCAAACGGAAAATTTGAGTCTTTTATTTAACATCAAAGTGGAGGTTCATTTAAGTAGATGTATGTGCAAACTAATAACATAATAACACTGCCTAGAGAATAAATATGTATGGTCTATTTTAATCTGCAAGCGAATTTGAATATGATGGACATCCAAATGGTCTAGATTGTATTGCCAGAACAATATAAAATCTAGAAAAAAAAGTCCTAAGATCAACCACCTTAGGTCTATCATAAGAAGTTTTCTTATTAAGAGATTAATTAAATGGTTTAGCCAAGATTGAAATATCTTCTTGAGATAAAAATAATCACATTATTTCCCATAAATGTAGAATGCACTTAATGCCAATCAAAGGTAGAACAGAGCATTTGTTGAAGCTCAAAAGAAGAAGCAAAATGTAAATAGGAGCTATCAAACTCATTAAAGCGGGTGAAGCAACACCTCCACTAGTAGGACTGGAGATAGGATCATAGGAAATGGATGGGGTGAAGAGATGAATTAATAGCGGCTGCCATTGGTCCAACTTTGAAAGGATATATTCAAGAGGGGTTGGAGGGGAATGGTAGAGCAAAAAATTAGAGCAAGCCGAAGCTGGCGAAACACTTTTTTTTTTAAATTTTATCATTGGAGTCTAGAAAAAGCTATTGAACAAACTCCATGAACATTCATAAAAATAATATATGGCACTTGTGCTAGTTTGTACTAACATTAGAAGGTGGAGTGAATCGGCAGCCAAAGAAATGATAATGAGCAGCGAAAATGCAAAGGTCTATCAAATTAGAAGGTGACATCTAAACAAAAAACTACAACAAAGTAGAACAGGTCTTTTTAGCCTTCCAACTTTTTGAAAGTGAAATAGGTACGTGATCTCCTTTTTTATCTGCTCATGTTTTTGTTTTGAAGTTTTTTTGTTCGGTAAGTCTTTAACTTTACTTAATGTTATTCAATAGACAAAACAAGGGTGTAATTTAGAAGAATCAGCTCGAGGTGAGTTTAATAAATAGCTCTATAGTCATTTTTGACAAATAATCAATCAACTTTGAGCCAACTTAGACTTTAGATCAGCTCATTGGGTTTTCTATTATAAAAAATATAAATATATATTATAATTAAAAAATAAAAATTCATTGATTTAATTTTAAAATTTATAAAAAAATCCAAAATACTTTCTCCTTTTTTTCAGTTCCCTAATTTCTTTTTATTTTTATTTTTTTCATTCCCACGGCTCTTCAGTTTTTCATTTATTCTATTTTCAATGAAAAGATAAGCGGGCTTGAAGATGTTGAATTGATCTCAAGATCTAGCTCATTTTCAATCTTTTTGTTAAGCTTAAGCTTAGAGGGATGATTCGAGTTTGATTTGACTTTTTTTTTTTTCTAAAAAAAATATTGAATTTTAATTGTTGTGTACTCTTCCACGTTGGATTCCTGTTAGATTTCAAAGAGAATTTATTTATTTCTGTCCTATGTTAGAGACCGTATTTATCAACTGTGTTACTTGAATACAAATGTTTTCTTTGTATTCTTGATGCCCATCCCATCATTTTTTTTGTTTTAATCTCAAAACCATGTTGATGTGGGATGTTTTTGGGTCTAAGGTTTTAAATTCAGATGTAATATGTGGCATAGGTTTAAATGTACTCAATAATGCATCAAACATGCTATTTATGTTTTAAAACAAGTTATTCGTAAAATAACTATTTTTTAACGAAAACATTAAATGGTAAAATCAATTTCATATGACAAGAGTTTGGCTTAGACTACACATTAATGACAAGAAAATTATGAATGATGAAGTTTCTACAGTCGATCGAAATTTGATGAAAAAGAAAGAAAATTAGATTTAACTGATCAATTAAATTCAATCACTTTCAACTAAAAACTAAAGGTGAATAAAAGTACATAGATTGAAAGAGTAGGAATTTTAAATAATTCGCTAATATGGAAGCCTTGCACTTGTATATAGAGATAGCTTCACCTATATCAAGGAATATAATCATGGAACAGTCATGCAAAGAAATCAGAAGAAGTGACAACAGAAGCTGTGGGAGAAATCACTGCACGCCAATCATATTGCTGGAAACAAAATGAGAGTAATCGAAACAGACTCCAACATTGTCGAAGAACCAGAATAATAGGAAAGCATTTTAGGGATATTATAATGTTATCGACATGCAAATGCGGTCTCCAGTTAGCATAATGAATTAATTACAACTAAAGTTTAAAATATAAGAACTCAAAATGCAAATTACAAAATTCAAATTTATATGACATAAAAGAAAACTTTTGCAGTTACTGCAATTTTAGGCTTTGAAATTCGCATTACTTTTTGTATGAGGCCATGGACCTGATGTTTAACATTTATTATTATCATTTATCTTTTAACTTTTTAATGGCCGTAGTTTGCCTGGTTCACTCATTCATTATGAAGATAATTAAGTGTATATTGTTGGCATGTTATATGATCAAGAGAGGGAAAGTAAGTCATAGCCATTGGTGAGAGGTGACTTCTTTTGCTATATTAAATGCATGACTTAATGAATTTTGCTGAACCATCATGTATATCTGATTTTTTGACCATCCTTTTCAGACCATTTTCTGGATTGCTTTATTTGCCTTCTTTCTCTAAATGGCAGAAATAGTTTACTTTGAACTAAGGCTGGTCAATTCAATTTCAAAGTTGGTCTCTCCCGTGGAACAAAATCTCCACTGGAAGAATTAGCGCAACCATTTTTGTTTGAAGACAGTTATTCCGTTAAAATGTGAAATGATTGTCCATGGAGAATGGGGAGCTTCCTTCCCCCAAAATATCTAACTGCTTGAAATCTAGCCTCTTTTACTAGAAATATGTTTTTGCTGTGTTGACAAGTTTTCTGCTGCTTCTTTTTCATGATTGAATGCGATATTGTTTTACAATTTAAAATGCAATTATGCATGCTTATGCTGCATACACATGGACTCTCTCTCTCTCTCTCTCTCTCTCTCTCTCTCTCTCTCTCTCTCCTTTCTGTGTATATGTTAGTTCAAATAACTTATAGTACATATTGTTTTCTGCTAGGAGCAATCTATATCAGTGGTTATCTCTTCCGCTGCAAATATGTTGCCTCAGGTCCAGTAGAGACTCTCTCCAGTAGCATCCGTTATTTTTCATATGCGAGTGAACTTTGTTTTTTATATGATTTGCATTCAGCATGCTTTTAGAAATTCAGTCTCTTTTGTTATTTTAGAAGAAAATCAACCACTGAAGGAATTCACGTTATTGTGGTATTGTTTTATCTTGATTCGTGGATTAAATACTTTCAGTAGTCAGAAAATTATGTTACATTTGTAGGTTGAAGGGAAATCAAATCTTGAAGATTCTTGACTTCTATATATCGCTTTGTGCCTTTGTGTTTACTTGCCCAGTGGAACAGATATAATTGTTACTATTTAAACCAGTTTACATATTTAATATTAGGATACAAAGAAGTTTTACCTTGAGATATTTAATTGTATGCATTTCTGCGCTTTCTATGTCTTAAACAAACACGCATATGTTCAGCTGGTTTTCAATGTAACAAATTTACCTTCATTGTGACTTGTATGGTTATGATTGCAATATTCCTCTATGAAAAATGCATGAAGTAATCCAACGCATTAAGTCCTCTTTTGTAGGAAATGTTAAGAAAAGTTAACATGACATACATGGTTAATGGAATAGAACAAAAAAGAGTGGATACAACTTTATGTCACAATATAATTAACTGGTTATGTTTACTCGGAAAATATAATGGCTTAGGTCTGTTGATGGAATTTAGATATTTTAACTCCAGTTGGTAGAATTTTAATCTTCTATTGGATAGATGATGTAAAAAAATTCAATATCCATGAGTCTTCCTTCGGCTTGTCTAACACATAATCTTGAATGGTACATTTCATTCTGGTATAATCAGGCCAACAAATATTTAGTATTTGTGTTACCCTTTTTTATCATGTTCTAATATGATTTTCATTATATCATAAATAAGAACACTGCTTGCCTTCAAACCCGGGGAGTAGTACATTGAAATATTTGTCGCGACCCGGCCTAGATATTCGAATTAATGAAGCCGGAATAGATGACCAAACGGTTAATAAAATTTTAATTACTAACTATTTCTAATACATAGAAAGAACCACTAAAACTTTTAAAATTTTAAAATCAAATATTATAAATACCTCTCTTGTAGCATCGCATCACGATACGCATTTTCTTCTCTTCTGCTCATTTTAGTTAATTGAATTATACATGTAATTATTTTTCAATAGGAAGAGTGAGTCATAAAAAAACTCAGTGAGTAAATCTGCTTCTACAACTACAGTTATATAAGATCTTTGTAACAATATGCATGCTCATTTTGAAATATAAATTACTTCCATTTAATTTTATTTTATCATAATCATGACTATTATGCACGTAACATATTTTTAGTAAATAATACAATTGTCACAGGAAACACTGTCTAAATTTTACCAATGAAGATAGATATTTTTCATTTCTTTATTTTTTCTTTTTCATAACTTTTTTCATTTAAGGGAAAATTCTATAAGATTGTGGTGAGACCTGCAATGCTTTATGGTGTCGAATGTTGGCCATTAAAAGAGAAGAATAATACTAAGTTAATTGTTGTAGAGATGGGGATGCTCAGGTGGATGAGTGGCTTTACCCTTAGAGATAGGATACAAAATGAGCATATACATGAAAAGGTTGGAGTAGCTCCAGTGGAAGATAAGATTAGAGTACATTGAAATATTTGTCGCGACCCGGCCTAGATATTTGAATTAATGAAGCGGGAGTAGACGACCAGACGGTTAATAAAATTTTAATTACTAACTATTTCTAATACATAGAAAGAGCCACTAAAGCTTTTAAAATTTTAAAATCAAATATTATAAATACGTTTCTCTTGTAGCATCGCATCACGATACGCATTTTCTTCTCTTCTGCTCATTTTACTTAATTGAATTATACATGTAATTATTTTTCAATAGGAAGAGCGAGTCATAAAAGAACTCAGTGAGTAAATCTGCTTCTACAATTACAGTAATATAAGATCTTTGTAACAATATGCAAGCTCATTTTGAAATATAAATTTCTTCCATTTAATTTTATTTTATCATAATCATGACTATTATGCACGTAACATATTTTTAGTAAATAATACAATTGTCACAGGAAACACTGTCTAAATTTTACCAATGAAGATAGATATTTTTCATTTCTTTATTTTTTCTTTTTCATAACTTTTTTCATTTAAGGGAAAATTCTATAAGATTGTGGTGAGACCTGCAATGCTTTATGGTGTCGAATGTTGGCCATTAAAAGAGAAGAATAATACTAAGTTAATTGTTGTAGAGATGGGGATGCTCAGGTGGATGAGTGGCTTTACCCTTAGAGATAGGATACAAAATGAGCATATACATGAAAAGGTTGGAGTAGCTCCAGTGGAAGATAAGATTAGAGAGAGTCGCTTTAGATGGTTTGGTAACATGAAACGATGGCCTTTTGATGACCCGGTTAAAAAAGTAGAGGTATTAGATTTGACTTATGTTAAGAAATGTAGAGGTAGACTTAAAAAGACTTGGCTAGAAAATATTATAAATGATATTTCTTTATTAGATTTAAACGAGAATTTGACTTTTAACTTGACACAATTGAGCAAAAGGATTCATGTAGCAGACCCCACGTAGTGGGACAAAGTCTTGATGTGTTGTTATTGTATAATTTTTTTCATTTACGTACACGGGTACATTGCGTACTTAGCCAGTACTATAAGGGGTGTGCTCCATCAGTGAGCATGCACATGCAAGCATATTTATCATAATCATTTCATTCATTTAACCTTCATTTACTTTCTATGAACTGTAAATCATAACATATTTATTTTTCATTTGATTCAACATGACCAATCATTGGATATGAGAAAGACAAATCATAATTTAGCTTGCAATAAAAACTAAATAAGTAGATATCATTATTTTTCAATACATTTAATTTAAGTTAGAACAAAATCATTATTGTAATTTAAAGACACGAGTACTCATCTTGATTTAAATAGTTTTTGACCTTTTTTCCTTTTTCTAACTTCAATAACTTCAATAATATGACACTTATAATAATTCATAATTTCATAACGTTAATTTAACTTATATATCTAATCATATCTCTCTCTAATTAGTTATTAAATATACTTAATAATTCTTATTTTGAATAATAGAATTTGTTTCCTCCAATTTATTATTTAAATATAGAAAATCATAATTTAATTAATTTCTAAAATAAAGTTTCTATATTTAATAAATTCTCCATTTAAGTAACTAATAAAATATACTCTCTTTTTTTCTATATAATTTGTCGTTAACTCTTAAATATGTTATTATTCTAAATTTAATCTATCATTTTAATATAAAATAAATTTAATTATTCATTATCTAATTTAAATTCATATGCTTTCTTTAATATGCTCTCTCTCTCTCTCTCCCTCTAGATGGGGATATTATTAGTAGAATTCAAGTTGGATGGATGAAGTGGAGGAATGCATCAGGCTTGTTTTGTGATAGAAAAATACCGCTTAAACTTAAGGGAAAATTCTATAAGATGGTGGTTAGAACTGCAATGCTTTATGGTGCAGAATGTTGGCCATTAAAAGAAAAGTATAATATTAAGTTAAGTGTTGCAGAGATGAGGATGCTCATGTAGATGAGTGGTTTTACTCTTAGAGATAGGATACAAAATGAGCATATACGTGAAAAGGTTGGAGTAGTCCCAGTGGTAGATAAGATTAGAGAGAGTCGCCTTAGATGGTTTGTTCACATAAAACGGCGGTCTTTTGATGATCCGGTTAGGAGAGTAGATGTAACCTATGTTAAGAAAGGTAGAGGTAGACCTAAAAAGACTTGATTAGAAAATATTAGAAGTGACATTTCTTTATTAGATCTAAATGAGAATTTGACTCTTAATCGGACACAATGGAGAAAAAATATTCATGTAGCCGACTCCACGTAGTGGGATAAAAGCTTGATGTTGTTGTTGTTGTGTGAAAACTTTTATAAATCTGAATACTTCTCACTGGTTCTATATTTGACTGTCTTTGATTTGAAATGATTGGATTTCTTTCACTATTCCTTGTCTTGTTTGAATATCCTGCTTTTTCTAAAACATTTAATTTTGAGTGATAATTCATCCCTTCTTTGTGCATAAACTGTCTTTCCTTTTTAAAAGTGGATATTTTATGTCATATTCCAGAGGCGCCTTCTTGAACAACGGGCCATAGTTGATGTTGAAGATGGAAAGTATTTGAATGAGGACAATGATCCAAGATCTGTAAGTGCTGTGCACTATTTCATAGAGGGATAGTTAATTTTGTTATCGATGTTGTACGGAAAATTGCTTCTTTTTGGCTGAATCTGCACTCAGTTGATTAACCTAAAGGAGAGTTTCACATTAACCCTATTTGTTGATTTGAAATACATCGAGCAACATGATGTTTGTCAGTTTAATTTTCTTTTTTTCGCCAATGATATTTTCCTACATTTAGTTTCATTGTGTGCATTACGGCGTAGCTATTTTGTTCTATTGAAAACTTGATTAAATGCTACTATGCAATGTAGAGGAAGTATGTCTTTTCAAACGCTTACTATGCCTTTTAGTTAATATGATAAAAATATTTCCTAGATTTGTAACCTAACATCATAGTTTCTTTGTAATGTTGGAATGGTGCGAAGAAAATTAGCCCTTGGCATCTGTCCCGCTAGCACAATGCGAAAATGCATTTGATTATTTTCAATAATTTTTTTGGCCATCGCTGGATATTTGGTTGTACTGGAGAGAAAGAGTTTCTTTTAGTATCATCTTCTGAACTAGCCAGCTTTTGTATTTACAACCGAAAATTTGCATCTTCCAGTTCCATTTCATCGTGTGGGTTTCTCTGAAGATTCAATTATATTTTTTCGTCAATAGGCCTAGTGGCTTTTCACATCTTGATCTGAACTCGTGGAAGGCTATTAGACTTATATACTAGTTTGCATCAGTATTTTAAACTAATTTGCAAGTAAACTTTAACCCCACCTCTCACCCGCTGCTTCGTTCTACATGTTCTTCCTCAAAACTCTTCAATACGTGTTCGTAATGCACAAATTTCATCTCCATTGATGTGCTTTGAACATGGGTAACATTTTTATTATGCCTTTTACTATTTAATGATGAGCGATTAATGATCAATGTCGAATTTCTTTTATGATTTCCAGGCTCTGGAATACTTATTGGATGACGTATGTGACTTTCTGTCTTTGCATTATAAAATTGAAAATAGAAATGAGAGCAGTGAAGGCCAGGATGGCTGTGTTCACGTACTCAAGTCATTTCTGGATTACATATCTATGAGGGAATCAGAAAATTTTAGGTCTCGACGACAAGATAATAACAATTCTATTACGTTGACAACCATTCATCAGGTTATCCATTTCTGCAAAATTTTTGAATTTTTTTCGTATAGTTTCATAGTAAGTTTGAGAATGATAAAGGTTTTGTTTTCCTTTTGCAGTCAAAAGGTCTGGAATGGGACATTGTTTTCATTGTGAAGGTATGACTCATCGCCTAAATATGCTTTTTATCTCAAGGTAGGTTAATAGAATCAGGTTCTGCTCTGTTCTATCCCCTAGGCCCATTCTCTGGCTATTAAAATAGCAGTTTTCTTTAAGCTGTTATATGTTGGTATGACTATGGAGCTAGATTTTGCTTAAGAAGGATGTTGAATTGGCTTTATCTTTGTATTTTTTCTGTTAAATTTGCATATAGTTGAAAATGATATAGTTAATGTTCCAGCAAGTGAATGTCTAAATTATTCTTCTATGGTGCTTCGATGCATTTCAAACTTTATACTCTGCAAGATGGAAGAATAATTAAAGAGAAAAAATGTCTAGAATAGAAATGATAACAGCATACAACATTTTTCAAGCAGGTGGTCATTCTATAAGCCATACCGACTTATATGAATAATAACGACAATATTGAACCCTATGTTACGGTCAGGATGATTTCTGAGAAAGGGCTGACACAGGCTTATAAAATATGATATATTGCAATAAAATAAATTGCATTACTGTAATAAAATCTTGATCTCAGGAGATTGTCATGTACTTGATGTACTATATTGAACTTTTAAGCTTCAGAGTTTGTTGGCGTATGCCATGGTGCAGGAGGTTATGGAGTTGATCCATGTATATCTTTATGGTCATCTTGTGAGATAGTGAGATACTAAAAAAAAATTGTAGGAAACAAACTCATGATATGCGCTAGTTGTCTAGAACTATTTCTATTATGTCATGCATGGCAAAACTTCTTGTAGCTTGTTCGCGATAGAAGAGGCATCATAACCTCTATCACAGTAATCTTTTCAGGAAAAGAAAGCAAGAACTTTGTTTTTTATTTTTTTGCATCATTATCTGACATGCTTTATTGTGGCTTAGGTACAAAAATAATTCATGGAATTTATGCAGTTTAGTCACTTTTTTTTTTGTTCAGGCTGAAGAAAATTATCATCAAGTCACTAATCTATAGATCCTAGATTATTTTCATGTATATCTTTTATTGGCCCTATCTATTTTTAAAATTGCGCAATATTGTGCTCGTCTTGAGGCCCGCCTCAACGCAATTCCATTGAAAAACGCATCGAGGCTTACACCTCGAACTTTTTTTGTGAGGCTTGTGCCTCAGCTTGGCTGAGGCCCGGCTTGAGGTGCGCCTTGCCTTATAAGTGTGAAGCGTACGCCTCACCCGATTTATTAGCGTGTGGTGATCGCATTATTAACATGAGGTGTACGCCTCACCTTTAGCATGGCCATTAACTGAGCAACTAAAAATGACAATTTCAATTCGGGGGAAGCTGCAATACAAGCCTTTGTGCAGCTAAAAAAAGCTATCACCAACATGCCAATGTTAACACTTCCGGACTTACAGCAAACCATTTGTGGTGGAGACAAATGCATCGGGACATAGATTAGGAACGGTGCTCATGCAGGATTATCGACCCATTGCTTATTTCAATCAGGTGCTCACTTCCAGGGCGAGGCTCAAGTATGTATACGAGCAGGAGTTGATGGCAATTGTCTTGGCCATTCAAATGTGGCGACCTTATTTGTTGGAGCGATGTTTTTTCATCAGGATATATCTGAGAAGTTTAAAATTTCTACTGTAGCAAAGGATGGCGATTTAAGAACATCAGCGGTGGTTGTCCAAGTTATTAGGATATGACTTTGAGATGCAGTTTCGCCCAAGAGAATAAGGTTGCGATGCACTATCACGGAAGACGAACGAGCTATAGTTGACATCTCTATCAGTACATGTGATCCTAGATTGGGAATCCCTGAGACAAAAGAGTGAACAAGATGAGGATTTGAGGAAGATGGAATTGTCTGAGCTAAGGGGATATTTATTGAGAGCCTCAACAGATCATGAAAAGGAAGGTTGATGAGCACATGAGAGATGATTTACTTAAAATTGAGGCTTTATAGACAAAAAACACTAGCCATAAGGAGGGATGAGAAATTATCCCTACAGTACTTTGGGCTTTATGAGGTCGTGGAGCATATTGGAGCAGTACCCTATCAACTGAGTCTACTACTTTCATCAACTTTGCATCCAGTCTTTCGTGTCTCTTGGTTGAGGAAGGCGGTAGGAGAGCATACACCATCATCTCTACCCCCAACTTTAACAGAGGAATGGAGATTATTTTGGAGCCCTGGAAGTAGCGGGTGTGCGCAGAGGGGAGACAGGGGCACAAGAGGTGCTAATCAAGTGGAAAGATCTGCCAGAGCATGATGCCGCATGGGAGCCATATGAGACAATCAGAAGACAGTTTCCTACCTTCTACCTTGAGGACAATTTTCATTTTGGGGAGAGAAGTATTGATCCGGGAGAGTGCGGTAGGCCGATCCCCCTTGTGGGGCCCAATCTATCAGTACTTAAGTGAGAAGAGGAATTAAGGAAGGGATTAATTGATGTAGAATGGGTAGGATGGAAAAAAATCTGAAAGAATTCCTTTCAGGAATTTTGAAAAGTTTTAGATTTTTCTTTTCATGAAATCTGAAAATTCTCAGATTTCTAATGTAGAACGGGTAGGATGGCAAAAATCTGAAACAATTCCTTTCAGGAATTATGAAAAGTTTCAGATTTTTCTTTTCAGGAAATCTGAAAATTCTCAGATTTTTCTAACTGATGTAGAACGGGTAGGATGGCAAAAATCTGAAACAATTCCTTTCAGGAATTCCGAAAAGTTTTAGATTTTTCTTTTCAGGAAATCTGAAAATTCTCAGATTTTTCTCATAAGATCTGAGAGGAGTTTCAGCAGTTAATAAGCAGAGGAAAAGGGGCATTAAGAGGGGCAGCGGTGTGGGCTCAAAGTCAATAGTGAATTGGGGAAAGAGAGGAGATGTGAGAGAAAGACGAGGGAGACGGCCGGGAGAGAAGCTCACGATATTGAGAGGGAGTGAATGCTCTTGTTTCCTAAATCCAACCTCTAGTATTAGGAAATAGTTTATAGCCTAGGTATGAAGGGAAATTCGGCCAAGGTGAAAAGAACAATCTCAGATTTTGGAAATATTTCCTGAAAAGAAAAATAATTCCTGAAAGGAATTGTTTCAGATTTTTTGCCATCTTACCCGTTCTACATCAGTTTGGTATCAGAGCATGGACTCAGATCAACTTGGAAGGACTCTAGACTGGGTGGTAGGTCAACTGGGCGCCATTAGTTAACATCTCAAGGAGAATCAAGCGGACTTAGCCGACCTCCACTGTGAAACAATCGAACGATTCGATAACCTAGAGCGAGGTAGGACTGACCCACCGTTTTACACAAAACCCCCTTCATCAAAGGGTAGAAAAAAGGCACTAAGAGACAGAGAGATAGTGGATAGAGTGGACAAATGGATGGAGGCCAATGAAGCTTTTAATTTCTCACTCACTGTGCAAATCAAAGAGAAACATAAGGTGATCAAGGAAGAACATGAATTTGTTGACAAGTAGAAATGCGTGACTGCAAATAACGCAGAGAGACTCGGTTGATTCAATTACAACTCCTACAGAAGCAAAGGTTTCTCCTGACGCAGTTAGCACTCCTATAACAGAGAAGGTTGATGAAGCTCTGGAAGTGATATCCATATAACTCAATATTGCTCCTATCGCTAGTGAAGCCATCTATGAGAGTGAACAAGTTCCTGCAGGCGAAAAGAAGTGCGACAGTTTGGAAGGTGAGCCCTTGACTACGGTTAAGGAAATTGGCGAGCTAAAGTGCAACAAGCAAGTTGATATTGTGGGCAACCTGGGTTGTTTGAAAATCTTTGCAAAAAGACCATTGGGTTTATTGTTTCCAAATAACAGTCCAGAGTTGTACAAGAGCAGTTGTGATGCTAACTCGACGGAGTCGAGTATTCTCCCACCTGGGGAGAATGATGCAGACATCGGTACGAAGATTTGGCGCATCTATCACAGGAGACGTCGTAAATCAACAGCTATTATTTAAATCTTCATTTGAGTTATTTTTTGAATTTTAGCTCTTATTTTATGTTATTTCCTGTTTTACCCCTAGGTTAGTTTATGTGAGTGTTGTGGCCCAAGGGACAATTTTGTAATTTTGAGTTTTTCTTATGTTATAGCCTATATATAGGGCCTTAAGCTATTGTAATGGGGATGAAGAATTGATATTAAAAATTTGTGTACAACAATTGTGCTCTTGTGAGAGGACGATAGTGAGATTTTTATGGAGAGGAATCGAAGTCTTCACCAGCTGCAGGATGGATACGGGCTCGTGAATTGAAGTTCCTTGGAGAAGGGCAAATAATCAAGCGTCAGTCTTTGGAAGAGTCCAAGGCTCGCGGTTTTTATCTTCTATCGTTTATTTTCTATCTTTTTGTTTTTTTTCCTTCTTATTGCTCATCGTAGTCTTATTTTTTCATCTTCCTACTTCCACCGTCACGTCGTCTCCATCTCCACCTCGCCGTCGGTCCCTCACCCGAAAAACCTCCAAACCGCCGGCCATGGCTCTGTAGCCGCCGGCCTCATCCTTTTTTCTCTCTCCTTGGCTTTCTTAATTTGGGGTGCATGATATTAAGACTTAGTTTGAAATTCAAATTATCTAAATTTGAAATTCAAAACTTATTTCCTAATTTAGTCCGCCTATTTTATGAAAGTACTTAATTTAAATCAATTTGAATTTCAAATTCAAATTTGATTTATTTCATTACTTTCCTAACTCCTAAAATCAAGTTTAGAAGTCCTCAATCACAATATTCAATGCTCCCCTTATTCATGCAAGCCGCCGGCCCCTTTATGAGCAAATTAGGAGTTATTTCCTAATTGCTTCATAACCTCTCTTTGAAAAAGTTTCTATTTTTAAATTCTATTTGAATTTCAAATTCAAAAGGGATTTAATTATTTCTTTCCTTAATTCCCTACATTAATCAAATTCCATTAATTTCTTCTTAATTTAAATTCATATCATTCTATTTTTGGAAAGTTATTTTAAATTCAATCAAATCAATTTATGAAAATTGAGATTTAAAATCTACCTTTCCCTATTTTCCTACC